TTTTGTAGAATTTTAAAATATCGTGTGCAGAATTTTTAACTTTTTGGCACAGAATGCCCTCAGGAGTAGAAAATTGATTCTTCAGCATGTATCCCTCACAGTCCCATCTCGCATCCCTATCTCAGTGCTGAACATACACCTCTAACCCAATATAACACGACCCAATATAACATGAATTCGGATATAATGCAGTAAAACAGCACTCCAGGGGGGAGGGGCTGCACACTCTGGTGGATCAAAGCAAGTTCGATATAATGCGGTTTCACCTATAACGCAGTAAGATTTTTTGGCTCCCGAGGACAGCGTTATATCGGGGTAGAGGTGTATGACCTGAACAATCATGCAAAGTCAGAACATCCTATAATCCATCATCCCAACATCATCATTCTCAGCCAGACACTTGACACAACAATGTTCCTGTGCAGAGGCTTTTGTGATTCCATGTACATATGGCCCAGATTCCCAGGGGTGATCCCTGAAATCAAGATGTTATCTCAAACTATTGGAAAGCGGCCAACCTCAGAATAGTTGAGACAGTGACAGGTGCTGGAGAAGGTTGAGGGTCAGTGGAAATTTACATGTAAAGCGAACATATAAATATATATATTTTGTGACAGGCCCAGACCAGTTGGGTACAGGAGTCTGATAGAGGGCAAATATACTGGTCACTGGATGAGTAGTTTTCTGTTCCCTGAGTGACCAGAGCAGGGGTTCCACTAGAGTAATCAGGAACCTGCTAGAACTAGTTAAGGCAGGCAGGCTAATTAGGACACCTGGAGCCAATTAAGAAGAAGCTGCTAGAATCAATTAAGGCAGGCTAATCAGGGCACCTGGGCTTTAAAAAGGAACTCACTTCAGTTTGTAGTGCGAGTGTGAGGAGCTGGGAGCAAGAGGCGCAAGGAGCTGAGAGTGAGAGGGTGTGCTGCTGGAGGACTGAGGAGCACAAGCATTATCAGACACCAGGAGGAAGGTCTTGTGGTGAGACTAAGGAAGGTGTTTGGAGGAGGCCATGGGGAAGTAGCTCAGGGAGTTGTAGCTGTCACGCAGCTGTTACAGGAGGCACTATAGACAGCTGCAGTCCACAGGGCCCTCGGCTGGAACCCGGAGTAGAGGGCGGGCCCGGGTTCCCCCCAAACCTCCCAATTGACCTGGACTGTGGGTTCTTCCAGAGGGGAAGGTCTCTGGGCTGTTCCCCAACTCACATGGTGAATCTCTGAGGCAAGAAAATCTGCTAATAAGTGCAGGACCTACCAAGATAGAGAGGAACTTGTCACAATTATAAAGACCAGATACAGTAGGCAGTAGTGTGTATAGTGTGCGGGGGTAGTA